TAAGTTGACCAAGAAAAAAAATTAGACCTACACCCAGGAATTACTAATTTTGATAAAAACATTCGTGAAGAAACAAACCATGCAGAGATGCAGTCAGTAATCTCTCTATATATATAAGCTGGACCGCCTGGGATAACTGTCCCCGCCTGGGATGATGTGACACGTGCTCACATTTATTCTGCAGAATTTTGGGTTTTTTCTTTACGAAGGCAAGACTGCCGGCTTATTGGTTGATCATTAAATTACAGCTTATTACAACTCCTTAATTTAGAAAATTATTCATCTTTTGACTGAAATAACAGATAAAGAACGAACATCAACATTCAACAACACCCACTAAGCTTGATCCATTCACTGCTGATAAGATATAAAAAGATGGATACTCCATATATACGAACAAACAAAACAAGATGAATTTTTAAGAAAGACAGTTAGTAATAATCGACTAACCTTGGTCGGGATATTAGAGGAAGGGGAAGAGGAGCTGGAACCAGAAAGAGCAATATAGCGTACGACCGTCTGGCTGAGAGATGAATTGGTACACCGAAGAGAAACGGTATAACTGCAAAAGGAAGTATCTTGGGCATGCTATTTTCTAATTGGACTTAAATCAAACGTTTGGGCCAATAACTTTAAGGGAAAGTTTCTCAAATGGGACAAAAAACGTTTGTAAATTCCAAAATAGGATTGTCATGTTTTTATTCCCAAAATAGGAGCAATTACTGTCAAGTTTGGAAAATACTGTCATGTTTAAAGTCTGGTACTGCCAAAACATGACAGTAATTAGTCCCATTTTGGGAATTAAAAACATGACAGTCTCATTTTGGAATTTACAAACGTTTTTAGTCCTATTTAGGGTAAATTCTCTAACTTTAATTTAGGGGTGTTTGGATCTGATTCTCAAAACTGATTCTGCTCCTTCAGGGAGCAGAAACAAAAGCTGGAGTGTTTGGGTGAAATTCCAGAAGCACTTCTGGAGCTCTAATTTACTCTCAGAATCAGTTTTTTTAGAAGCTGGGGGTACCAGCTTCTGAAAACTGATTCTGATTCTGCTTCTGCTTTTAAAAAAGAAGCAGAAGCAGAATCAGTTCCAAACACCCCCTTAGTTTATTTGGCAGATTTTAAATTTTACTCCCTCCTACTTTAAAAAATTGTCAAGTTTCCTTTTTTGGAGTAGGATGAATATGGAATTCATGTTAATTCTTTCTCTTCTTTTGAAAACTTAATCATACAGCGTTTACTTTATTTATTTATCTTTTGGAAGAAACTTTTACTTTATTATTCCATGTCCCGGACGGTTAAACTTGATCAAGTTTTAAGGGAGTAGGATGAAAGTATATTTTAGAACCATTATGTAACATTGAAATCGATTAAATGAGTTGAAATTATTGAAACAGATGAAATTCTAGTTGAACTGGCCACCAACTTCACTAATTTGTAGAAATAATGTATTTTAAATATTTTAATGATAAATAAAAAAGAGAAAAGGGGTAAATAAGTTACCGAAAAGGCTGTGAATAGCTTTAAACTGAAAAGTAATTGTTAAAGTTAATAATGAAGTTTTAAAACTAATATAAATAATCTCACTTTTCACAAATCTGCTCAAAACGATCTCATTTCTCTTTTTTTTCTTTTTTTCTCCCTAAAATGGTTTCTTCTTTATTTTCATCCCTAGACACTTTTTTATTCCTCTTTCTATCCAATTGTTCTTATTTATTTTCCATTTTTATTATTCTATTTTTTACTCTATCTATTAGGAGAATTGTTTTTTGTAAATTTCCTTCCAAAATAGATCTTTTTGTCATTTTCTTTGTCTTCCTGTATTTTTTATTTCATTTCCTTTTTATGTTTCTCGTCTTAATCATTCTCTTCTTATTAAAGATCTTTTCTCCACTGCTTTTTGTTATGTTTTCTTTTTATTTCCACATTCCCACTTGTTTCTTCTTGTTATTTTCTTATGGTTTTTCTTCTTTCTTCTTGTTATCTTAATTCGACGATCAATTTATGTTTTCTCTTTTCTGCATTATCCTGTTTTTCTAAGTGAGTCAACCCATTAATTCTATCAACTACGTGAAAAACTTCATGTGACAAAAAGATAAGCGAAAATTTAAATTAAAAAAATAAAATATTAGCGATAAATGAAAGACAAAAAATACATTTTCCATAGAAGCATGAAGACAAGCAATATTCTCAGGAAGGCAGGAAAAGTCTCAAAAATTGAGGAACCAAGTATAAAATCTAAGCATATTATATTTTAATATAAACTTAGAAATAACATACAACGGCCGTCTCTAGGTCTTTTCCTAGTAGTTTGTACCGACGGCGACGGCGATCGCTTCATCCGGTGAGGGTTTTTGCCCTCTGTCAGAAGGTTGTGGCTTTTCGTCGGGCTTCGTGGTGCCTTGAAGATTTTGCCTGGGGTTCTGAAGCAGCGGCGATGGATCTTACTTGGCTGGGGCTGGGGCAATCGGGCAGCAGTGTTGTGCGATTCAATTGGATTGTGACTCCATTGTTCTGAGGAAAGGATGAGCATAACAAGCTGGAATTGCAGGGGGGAAGATTCGGGATCGGAAAAATTCAAGGCCGATGGTGGTGATCTCCTACGAGCGAAAGAAGACGAAGGGATGTTGATTCGTCCCCCTTCCGAACCGCCGCCTTGGAGGATTTGTGCTACTAGGGTTTAGAAGACTATTTCTATTTCTGTTTTGGTTTGTTTATGTTTTTACTTTGAACTGCATGTTATTTTGTTTGTCATGTACGCTTATTTTTGTCAGACTCTTAGATTAGGTGGGGGTGATGAAGGTTTTTATCTGGCCACGTTAGGCTCATTTAGACCCACTACAGGATCAGCGAATCATATTGCTCTTTCTAGGGTGATTGGTTTTCCAGCTGGTTCGAGAGTCGATGGCTGGATGTGTTTCCTTTGTTGTTTGTATCCTTTGCTGAATGTTTTATTATCAATATAAGCCTCACTTTTACAAAAAAAAAATACAGTGTCCCTAATGTTTTATTTTTCTTTACACTTTCCAAATGTTTTATTTTTCTATAATCTTTTTGTCATATAGAGTTTTTCCCACAATTGATGGAATTAATGGTGAATTTACTTAGAAAAACACAATAATGAAAAAAGGAGAAAAAACATATTTATGGTGAAATTAAGATAACAAGAAGAAGAAAAGAAGAAAGAAGAATAAACATAAATAAAGTAACAAGAAGAAAAAAGGGGGAAAATGAGAAAAATGAAAAGAATATATAACACAAAGTAGAGTGGGAAAAGTTGTATTTAATTGAAAAGTTCCAATGCTCAATACATACAGTCTCAATGCTCAATAGTCAAGAATACGATATTCATTAAAGAAATTTTGATACTTAAACGCGGTTTTGAAATTTTTTAGATATTACAATATTCAATGAAGAAATTTCGACTCAATTTGAGAGTTCTATTGCTCAATACACATCATAATGATGCTTAATGAAGTGAGTTTCACCCCTGATTACTCCAGGCTCCCCCAACCCCCCTCTCCCAAACACCCTGGAGTAATTAAAAAAAACATGATATTTAACGAAAATGATTTGATAAGATATAAGGTTTTGAAATTTTGTATATTAAATTGTAGAGTTCATATGTTTAATAAAGAGAGTTTGATGCTCAATGAAAATGTCTTGATAGGGCTGGACTCGGTTCGGGCCGGGGCCGGTTCGGGCCTTGAACCGGCCGGGCCTCGATTCACCAAAAGGAGGGCCCGGGCCCAAACCGGCAGGTGACCGGTTCCGGGCCGGTTCACCCGCCCCATTTTTTTTTTTGATTTTTTGGCTTCTCTTATTTAACCCCCTACCCCTCCCCCTCAAACCCAAACCACCCCAAACCACCTCAAATGGCCCAAAATACCTAATCCAACCCAAAAATTAAAAAAAAATCAAAAAAAAATTAAAAAAAAAATTATTCCGGCCCGGCCCGGGCCCGAACCGGCCGGGCCGGTTCACCAAATAGAGGGCCCGGGCCCGGAACCGGTATCCACCGGGCCGGTTCGACCCGAACCGCCAGTGGACCGGGCCACCGGGCCGGGCCGGTTCACACAGTAACCGGGCCGGTTCACACAGTAACCGGGCCGGGCCAGTTCGGGCCGCCCGGCCCGAGTCCAGCACTATGTCTTGATACTCAAATAGCAGAGTTTACGATTTTCATATCAATGAATACTTCAAAATATAATACTTCATATTAAATTAGATTCGCATATTGAAATTCATAAGAGTTAATTGTAAACATAATTTAAGAAATTTTTATAAAAGACAAAATAAGAAATAGAAAGTAAATTAAAAGATATGAAACAGATATCATGTGGATCAATATTAGACTCGTAATACCCAATAGGATAAGTCTAATGCTCATTAAAAGTGCTCAATAAAAAAATCAATAATGTTTAACAATTTTGTGTATTTCCTTCATAGTGGAGCTTGTTATTTACAGCACTTAAGCAAAGTACTAAAAAGGATGTATCAGGGACTTGCTATGCTTTTAGATTTGGACCACATTCTAGTTTTACAAGTTTTTTTGTTCTAAGAAATAGAATAAAGAATTGAAGGAGCTAAGAAATGAAAAGCTTTCTAACTTTAGCCAGCTGCCGCCGTAGCTGGACGAATGTTCCGATGAGATAGAGTTGTGTGAGGCCCTGGCAGACGTGCAGAGAAGGCACCTAACATGTCGTTGGACAAGCAAATTGGCGGAGTGGACCAACCGGTCGCATTTCCGGCAAAGAAAGGCGTCGCCGGCTTGGCAATAATGTTTAATTTAGGAAAAAATAATGTCAACAAATGTTCCTCTAGAAAAAGAAACTCCTAAAGAATCTTCATCACGATGCTCGTATTTATATACATTTTTTGACCGTGTATTTATATACATTGAAAAACAAGAATTTAGAAGATAAAAATACAAAATCTTCCCATGAAAATTTCCACAAAGAAAAAGATACCAAATTTATAGATCACATCATCTTAACCGGTAGGGAACTAGGGAACTTATAATATAGGTACCATAATTGTAAAATGATTGATCAAGAGAATACTTGTTGATATCCCAGCTCAGCTCTATCAAAATGTTTTCTTTTCTGAGTCAAGTCATACAGATTCATCAGAAAAAGATTGATACTAGGTGTGTGAGCACATCATACCTAGATCTTCGCTGGAGAAGAAAATCATTCCAGACAAAAGCAGCTATGTACATCATTAATTAAATCTTCAACTCCAAAACATTTTTTTCACTAGAGTAATACAGTCCGAGGATCATTTCATAAAGCAATTGCTTCCTCCGATTGAGACTGCTGGTGCTCAGTGCCAACGACCAAAGGGCTTTTCTGGAATTTGTTTCTGAGCTGTCCACAAGCGGCACTTGCATCAAGTCCTCGCGTTTGGCGGGTGCTGACGGTTATTTTGCGGGACTCAAGAGCAGCAGCAAATGCTAAAACCTGGATATTGATTGCGTAGTACACCAGCACAACATGTTAGTTAATGCACTCCTGGCTGATCAAATGAACAATTAATGCTGTTGAAGAGAGGGTGCATCAACGTTCTATTAGGGTAAAAAATTGTATTATAGTCTCTCGTTGTGTGCCTTTGCAAAATGCAAAGCTACGTGTACCTTTAAGTGGTGGTTTTAGTGCTGGCCTGGTATACATTTCCCCCCGAGCCAGGATCTTCACAAACGCTAACCAACTTTACTACACTAGCTGAATTAGAGATCATGAAAATGACATTTGAACCTTTACTTGTATGTATTGTCCTAATAATTTATTTAAAAAACATATATTTTGAATACGAGTATATATTTTAGATAATTCAATACAATTAAGTCAATGAAACCACTTCAGTCATTTGAGGCCTTACCTAACGGGTTCTTAGCCCATCAGATTGTCATCATAGCAAGACTAAAAGCAGGAATGGTTGTTGCAAAAGAGGACTTAAATGGCTACAACTGCATAAAATGAGACTAAAAGGCTATTGTAATGGTACAAAACAAATCAGATAATTGCCGTACCGATTTTTTATATGGGCGCTTGTATTCAGAGCCCTCTATCGGATTGAAAGGTATTAAGTTCACATGATGACCTCGACCCCACTTATGAAGTAGCTCTGCTAGTTCAATAGCATGTTCAACTGCATCGTTCACGCCAGCTGTTCAAAAAGATCAAACAGGACAATTCATTAAAATACAACAAAGGAAATGAGCTTTTGCAATTTTCTCAGTATTTGATTATTATTAGTACAGTAGTACCTAAAAGTGTATACTCAAATGAGACCCTTCGACTGGTTTCGAGGAAATAGTCCCTACAATCCTTCATAATTGCATCCAAAGGATAGGCCTTTGCACTTGGTACAATTTTTTCCCGGATTTTCTGATTCGGAGCATGTAAGCTGATGCATATAGCAGTAAATGTAGCGTAAAACTGGATATTATGTCAAAAATGACAGAGTTTTATGATTTTTCTCTTCTTATTTTAATTGATACAACTGTGGTATATATATATATACAGTATACACACAGGGAGAAGTGGAGAACTATACTAGGAAAGTATATCAAATCTACTCCTAATATATTCTACATATATACTAAGAAAGTATATCAAATATATTCATAATATATACTCCATCCGTCTCGCTAAGATTGTCTCATCTTTCCTTTTCGGTCCGTCCCGATAAAATTGTCTCATACCAAATTTGGCAAAGTTTGTATCTCTAAATCATTCTTAATTTATTCTTATTTTATCAATTCAATATCAACGACATCAACTCACTTTTCTTAATAACCGCACCACCTCCTCCTGTCTCAATGTTAATGGGACGGAGGTAGTACTACATATATATACTAGGAAAATATATCAAATATATTCTTAATATATATTACATATATATCATATGCCCGAAGCTTGTTACACAGATAGTCAACTCGGGACCCTCTGAGAGATTTTATAAACACATCTGCTAGTTGGTCATTTGAATTTACAAACCGAGTCACAATGATGCCCTCAAGAAGCTTGTCTCTAATGAAGTGACAGCAAGTTCAATGTGTTTTGTCCTCTTATGAAAGATTGGGTTGGAGGCGATGTGAATGGCACATATGAGCTTCATTGGAGAAACCTTGCAAAACCTTAGTTCTTCAAGAAGTTGTTTGATCCATATGAGCTCACATGTTGCATTTCCCATTGCCCGATACTCAGATTCTGCGCATGATCTTGCTACCACACTTTGTTTCTTGCTTTTCCAAGAAACCAGATTACCCCGAAAAGGACACAATAACCTGATGTTGATATTTGGCTGAAAAGACAACCACCATAATCTGCATCAACAAACCTTTTCCTGGAGCTCCTTTGTTGTATTCTCATACAACAAACCTTTCCCAGTGAGTATCACACGGAGAATCCAGGAATTGACCAACTATGCTCACAGCGAAAGATATATCCAGGCAAGTTACTGTGAGAAAATTGAGCTGCCCGACTAGTCTCTGATACTTCCCTTGATCTTCCAGGGGCTCCCCCTGATCTGGTCGGAGCTTAACATTGGGATCCATTGGACACTCAACTGGCTTGCAATCTGTTAGATGAGCTTCTTTAAGGATGTCTAGAGCATACTTTCTTTGAGATATTGAAATTCCACATATTTACCTCGAAATGCTTGAAAGATGATAGAAGACTGAATGATCTGCTTTACTTTGTTTCACTCCAAACTCTTTTACTACAGGACTGAATCTCCCAAACCAGGATCGGGGAGATTGTTTTAACTTTAAGCCATGGAGAGATTTATGTAGTCTGCATACCAATCCTGACCCCCCTGAGCAACAAACCCAGGAGGTTGCTCCATATAAACCTCTTCCTTTAGATTGACGTGGAGAAAAGCATTTTTTATGTCAAGTTGATAAAGTGGCCAATCACACATAGCTGCCATGGATAAGAGAATATGGATACTTGTCATCTAAGCAACTGGAGAAAAAGTATCATTGTAATCCAAGTGAAAAATCTGTGTATAACCTTTGGCTACAAGGCGATCTTTAAGATGGTCAAGATCACCATCGGGACCAAGCTTAGGAATGAAAATCCAACGACATCCAACTGTTAATTTCCCTGAAGGTAACTGAATCAACTCCCAAGTCCTATTTGAGTGTAAAGCAGTCATTTCATCGACCATTGCCCGGCGGCAACCAGGGTGACATAAAGGCTCTCTTACAGTTTTAGAAATAGGAATAGAAACAAAGACGAGGATGTGTGTGGTAAGCTTTCAATAGAGGATCGGCTAAGAGACTTGGAGCGGGAGTGGGTTCTGTGGGAAGTGAAGTAAAAACTGGGAGAGGAAGGACCTGATTAACAATAGGTGTGTCCCGTTGAGCATCAGAAAAATAGAATTGATGATAAAAAAAATGTTACACTAGCAGCCATGAAATGCTTGTTCAGGCAAGGAGAGTAACATTTATAACCTTTTGTAGCCGAGAGTAACCCAGAAAGACACATTTTAGTGCTTTAGGAGCTAGCTTATCTCGACCAGGATCCAGGGAACAAAACACACTAAGCCAATTGGATGAAGAGGGGCCCAGGGAGGTGATACGGAAATTGATTGGGGAACAACACGGAAAAGGGAGTCTGTTCTGTAAGACAGTCTTTTAATCAGATTGGTGTGTCACGGAGATTAATGGCATGCGATTAATCAGATAATATGCCGTCATGCCAGCATCAGCGTGATGACGTTTAAAGGTAATTTGGCATGTAACAGTAAGGTGTGGGTAGTTTCAATTAGATGACATTTCTTCCTTTCGGCCACACCATTTTGTTATGGGGTTCTTGGTCGTGAAGATTCATGTAATATGCCTTGAGAAGTCATGAATTCTTTAAAGACTAGAGATATACTCAAGGGCATTGTCACTCCTCAAGTTGGGTTTCTATTTCAGCACAGAATAGTCACCCCAAATTGGGTTTCTATTTCAGCACAGAATTCTTCGAAAATGGCAAATAATTCAGAACGCTGCTTCATTAAGAATATCCAAGTTGAACAAATGGGCGAAAGAGCTGTATGATAGAGGGAACAATTGATTGCCACAACAAATTGCAAAGTTGGGCATCTACTTGTTCCCACTTAGCCAAACTAGTTTCTGCAACATAGGTAACTCATATTGTTAGGTGATCACTTTGACCATGCCCCTTAAACCACATTTTGGATACACGAAGAAGGATACCAGAGAGAGATGGTGCCACAGCGAATTGGGGTTCACAAAGCTCTGATGCCATGTAAAAAATGAGAGAGAGTTCTATGATTTTTCTCTTCTTATTTTAATTGATACAACTGTGAGTATATATATACACAGGGAGAAGTATACTAGGAAATTATATCATATCTACTCCTAATATATTCTACATATATACTAGGAAATTATATCATATCTACTCCTAATATATTCTACATATATACTAGGAAATTGCAGCAAATTTATTCCTAATATATATATTCTAACAAAAATATTATGAGTCCATTTGGAACCTGAAAATATACTGAAAGAAAATATGAGGAATATAGATGGGAATTTTTTTGCGGCCTCTTGTCAATATTTGATGGGGGAAGGCTGGCCCCATATACACCCTTGTGGCGGGGCCCTTCCCGGACCCTCCCCTCATGGGGATGCCTTCGTGCACCAGGCTTGGGGGGGGGGGGGGATTGGTTAAACTAGTGTTTTTTCTATTATATGAAGACTGGTGCAGAGTATATGACTGCATGTGAACTTTTTAATAAGTTTTGAAATATAATTGATTTTCATCGTATTTTCAAGATACAAGTACGCGTTCAAAAAATATTTTTCTGCCGTATTTTTTATTTTCGTACTCGTTCCTGCATTCCAACAATAGCCTATGGATAACAAGTTTGATTATGAGAGAAACTTCACCTGAGAGCTAATGTGGACTGAAGTTTGTGAGAAGCCAATTTTTTTATTGTGTTAGGAACTCCAACTGTCGAAATAGTTATCATCCTTTGCCCAATTTGAACATCCTTATTCAGGCAACGGTGTGCTTCGAGAACTTCTTTCAAATTCATCATGGGCTCACCCATGCCCATAAAAACAACATTTGTAACTCTTTGCTTGAAGAGCTCTTCTATTGCTAAGACCTGTGTGTTTAAAAGATAATGCAGAAGCAACGCATGAAAATTTTAACGGTGCTTTGAGACAAACATTTAGGACATGTTTACTTCACCGGTTATTAAACGGTGCTTATTAAGACCCGTGTTAATAAGCGGCGCATAAAATAAACAATGTTGTAAGACCGTGTTTACTTCAAACGGTTTAAAACACCGCTTAACATTAAAATGTCCAAAATAACCCTATACATATATATACACACAAACATTCATGAACACAAGTATGTAATATAATATGTGTACCCATACCCCTAACCCCTTACCCACCCTACCTTACCCCGACCCCACCCACCCCTACCCCTACCCCTACCCTACCTACCCGACCCTACCCCTACCCGACCCCACCCTAACTTGTCCCTACCCTACCGCAACCCTACCCCCGACCCCATAGGCCCCTACCCCCATAGGCCCTTACCACATCGACCCCACCTTACCCTACCTTACCCCAACCCCGCCCCTACCCCTACCCGACCCACCCCCTACCCCACCACACCTACCCTGCCCCTAGCGCCTCTATCACATCGGCCCCACCCTGACCCCACCACCCTAGGTATAGTGGGGTAAGGGGTGGGGTAAGGGGTATAGGGTGGGGTGGGGTAGGTGGGGTGATTGAGGTCAGGTAGTGGTAGGGTGGGTCGGGTAGGTAGGGTAGGGGTGGGGTCGGGTAGGTAGGGTAGTGGTAGGGTGGGTTCGGGTAGGTAGGGTAGTGGTAAGGTGGGTTCGGGTAGGTAGGGTGGGGGTTGAGGCGGGGGTAGGGGGTAGGGTAGGGGTAGGGTCGGGTATGTGGGTAAGGGGTGGGGTAGGTAGGGTGGGGTCGGGTATGGGTAGGATGGGGTAGGGTTGGGTTAGGGTAGGGGTAGGGTAGGTGGGGTAAGGGTAGGGGTGGGGTCGGGGTAAGGGTAGTGTAGGTGGGGTAAGGGTAGGGTAGGGGTGTCTGGTAATGGGGTAGGGTAGGGGTAAGGTGGGGTACGTATAGGGTGGGGTCGGACAGGTAAGGTTGGGGTAGGGTGGGGTCGGGGTAGTGGTAGGGGGGTCGGGTAGGTAAGGGTAGGGTCGGGGTAGGTAAGGGTAGGGTGGGGGTCGGTTAGGTAGGGTAGGGTCGGGGTGGGGTAGGGTAGGGTGGGGTCGGGGTAGGTGGGGTTGGGGTCGAGGTGGGGCAGGGATAACAATAGGTTAAGGGCAAGGGGTAAATTCGGAAACTGAAAAAGCTTAAAGTGCCGCTTAATTAATACATGGGGGTGGTATGCTTAATAAGCGGCACTTTAAGCACCTCTTTCGGTTAGTAAGCGGCTTTTTAAGCAGTGTGCGTGTTTACTTCACCTGTCTTACTAACCTAACTGTGACTTTAGCAGTGAAGTAAACGCCTCCTTAGTCAAGTACATTCACTATTCACTACCCTTAGACTTCAAAATCAAAAGTTCATCAACACTAGCTAACAGAAAGTGCCTTTTCACAGTTAGCTGTAACTTGTAAGATCTTACATTTTGATTGGGTTGATGAAAATTAAAAAGCAATATAGAACTAAAGACTTGCTCTTTTTGGGATGGTGGAGTACACGAGTCACAAAGTCAAAACTTATAAGGCGTGTCAAATACTCAAATGTTAAAAAGAGGAGCTAGATCAGAGGCAAAAGGCCTCTTTTTCAAGAAGCTCACAATGCCAACCTGAAATCACTAACCCTCACAACCACCAATTTAAACTACAGAGAAATGATGGAATACTCTTTTCTGATGAGAACTGTAATATGTTGTTTGGTATGGAGGATTTTGGAGGGGAGTGAAGGGGTGGTATACCGGTATATGTTAGCTTTGAAAAGTTAGAAGGAAGGATGAGGAAAGTTGGGAGCAATGGACTACACCAAACTCATCAAATTTTACCACCCAACCTGGGAGAATTTGAGGAGACATTTTTTTTCTTTTTTAATTAAAACTATTCTTCTACACTATCATAATATCATGATGCATGTATTGATATAAACTACTTGTATTCTATTTATAAGTATTTCCTATTTTTTATGAAACACTACTTCCATACACTCTTTATTAGCCAAGCATAGCATCTTTTTCAGCTTTCTCATTCTCCTATCCTCCCTCCACTTCTTTGGAACCAAATAAGGGGTAGGTGAAATCCAAATATTAACTTCATAAGAAACCAATGCAAGAAACCTGTTCAACTATCTCATGCCTTTTAAGATTTCTTGAGAACCCTCCCTTTCCAGTGGCACAAAAGGAGCACCGCAATGGGCAGCCAACCTGGCATATAAAATAACACGATTGTAAGCAACCTCAGAGCCAATTCAGAGAGAGAAAGAGATACTACACAAGCACACAACTGCTATTTACCTACTTAGCTGCATGGAATTAAAAAAGGAACTCCAAATCAAAACAAACAACCATATATTAAGTTATTATTTACTACCTCCGTGCCCCTAATATTGGGACAGAAGAGAATGGTGTGATTTTTAAGAAAAGTAGAAGTATGTGGTAGATAATGAGTTGATTGAGTGAGAATAAAGTAAGAATGAATTAGAACCACACAAATGTTACCAAATATGGTACGAGACAATAATAGGGAGACATCCAAAAATGAAAAAATGGGACAATTATAGGGAGACGGAGGGAGTAATAAAGCATATGCACACGAGTGAAAAGTTTACCTGAGATGAGACACATGCTGTCAAGCGAAATGAACCACCATCAACTTCAACTGGTATTCCAACAGTTTCGACTAGTAGATTATCCTCCAGTTTTAAGAGCAACTGCAAAAGTCACTTGCGAGAATAAGAGGGCAAATATGCAAATCACTAAGATTTCACACAATATTTTGAATCGTTTGTCTACAATCACATGATTACAGATTTACAGGACTTATTCATATTTTGTACTCCATACTATGACAAACATTATTAATTTATTGTCTCTACAAGTTTTCAATGTTAAACAAGAAATTTGAAAAGTGGTCCATGGTGAGTCCCTCAAGACGATTAGGCTTCAGGAGAATCTCTCTACATTCTTCAGTGGATAAATACTAAGAAAAACTGAGATACAATATTACCAACTTAAAGTTTACAACTTTTATATTTATATGGATTACCTTAACAGTCCCATCAGCTGCAGTTACGGCTTTATGAATGGGTGATCTTCCAACCTTCCACCCACCCTCAAGTAGTTCCGTTCTGAACTCCAATGGCACTTCACAGTGCACACATATTATACTCATACAGTGTATTAATAAAACAATCTCATGCTTAGTCGTTGAGAAAGATATGTGGTACTTACACTGAATAAAATCGTGTATTTCCTTTACTTTCCGCTTGTAAAGTATATGATGCAATTGCTTCCCCCTATAGCTTTGCTGCACCAGAATATTCAATACAAGAATATACTTTGAACATAAACACTACTGCAAATTACAACCTTTCTCTTAAGGAAAACTTTGGGCAGTCGACGTACCTGGCCTAAGTCGAGAGCTAGTTGTTGAAGCTCTTTCTCAGACATGCCGAGGAGCACTCTCGAATCCGGCTGGAACTTAGGGGCCGCCATCTTGAGAGATGGTATGGAAACAGGGCCGGAGACCGCGGCAGCGGCAACGGAGAGAGCTCGTGAACGGAAGGCATGTGAGACGTGAGCTGTGCACGCGAAATGCAGAAGAGACGTTCTCATTCGAGAACTCGAAAGTTAAAATTACTGCGAGCTCGGAGAAGATGGGAGCAACTGAGAAAGTGAAAGAACTCGCAAGAGGGCCAAACTCCATAGGCAAAGTTGAAGGAGCTCCTTCAGTCAAAACGACGTCGGATCAGTAACACTTTGGATAGGAATACATTTGAAAAACAAAAAATTAATAATTCTAACCTTTTATCAGTTTTCTTACCATAGTCTCATCTTATCGTTATTCATGAATAATCCAACATTTGCACCTCATCTTCATTCGATGGCCCCTGACCGGTTGATGACCTGTTATTCCAGGTTTTTTCATTTTCTTTACAAACCATTAAATCATAAATCTCATCTTTCACAAATCTTCTCCAAACGGTCTCACATATCATTTTTCATTTTTGTTCCAAAAACTTTTTCCTTTTTATTTTTATCGTCTTGTCTCTTTCATTTCCCTTTTTCGTCTTCTTATTTCTTTTTTTACTAGTTTACAATTTATTTTATTTTTTTCAATGTTTATGTATTCCATTTTTCCTTTTTTTCCTTCTTCTCGTTTATTATTTCATTTTCATTTTTATATACTATTTCGGATTAGTTTCCTTATAAAAAAACATTTTCTCACCATACTAACTTTTTATATACTAACTTTTTTTTCCATCATTTGCAATGAAGCCAAAGATTCATTATTTTTTGGCTTGAGAATATGATGGAATAAAGCAAAATGGTTCACCAAACTGTCTGCTCTACTTTGTTATGAAGCAGCAGTCAGTCCATGCAATTTTGGACGCGGTTTTCATTATGGGTCATCCGGAAACATTCTTTCTGTGCTTTAGTACAGGGGTAAGACTGCGTACATCCGACCCCCTTACCCCACCGTTGGTGGGAGTCTTTGCAGCACTGGGGTAAATGATGATTGACTAACTTTTACTTTATTTTCTTTTTACTTACACTTATTTATTTCCTTTTTCCTTTTCTTACTTTTATTCTACCACTATATATATATATATATATATATATATATATATATATATATATATATATATATATATATATATATATATATATATATATATATATATATATATATATATATGAGAAAATAGCCCCAAAATAGGACTAAACTAATCCCTAAATGCACAAATAGGACTATGTTACTTATCTTCCCAAAATAAGATTAAAGTAACGTCCATCTTCCTATTCTACATTTCTACCGTTACCATAACTTAATAGGATAATCATATTTTACATTATAATAAAACAATAACAAAAAGTATTTCAATTTATAAAAATATAGTAACAAAATAAAAAGAAAGTTAAAACAATTTTTTAAAAATAAAAAATAATTTAAAGAAAATTTAAAAGTAAATAAAACCAGATAAAACACATTAAAATTTTGTTTTAACCTTCTTTTTGTTTTGTTACTATATTTTTATAAATTGAAATACCTTTTGTTATTTTTATTTTTCATTATAATGTAAAATGTGATTATCCTATTAATATATGGTAAGGGTAGAAATGTAGAATAAGAAGATAGATGGTATATTAGTCCTATTTTGGGAATATAAAAAACATAGTCCTATATGTGCATTTAGGGATTAGTTTAGTCCTATTTTTGGGGATATTTTCTCAAAAAAATACTCTCCCCGTTCTCTAATAGATGAGAGTATAGAGTTTGGCACAAGTTTTAAGGGGGAAGTAATAGGGGTAGTGTAAAAAGTGTAGTGAATTGTGTTTGAATGAAAAAGTAAGAAAGAGAATGAAAAAGTAGGAAAGAGAATGAGCGTATATAGGTATATTTATTGAAAAAACTTTCCAAAGAAAGATGGACAAATATTCAAGAACACCCCAAAATAGAAAGTGAGACATCTATTAGAGAACGGGGGAGTATTAGCGGTAGAATAAATGTAAGAAAAGGAAAAAGGAAATAAATAAGTGTAAGTAAAAAGTTAGTACAGTGAGAAAAAGATCTTTTATAAGGAAGCTAATCTATATATATATATATATATATATATATATATATATATATATATAATGAAAATGAAATAATAAACAAGAAGAAAGAAAAGAAGGAAAAGGGGAATACATTTTTTTAAAGGAAAACGCTTATATTAGAATCAAAGGAGTCATTCCATCAAGACCACATACCAACGCTTATATTAGAATCAAAAGAGTCCTTTTTAAAGGAAAACGCTTAGAAATAATGGCAAAAGTACTACCACTGAGTTCTACGTGGACAACAATAAGACCGGTCTTCAATTTGGACAACAATAAGACTACACATTACCCAATTGACTAAAATACCCCCTAATTGAAAAAGGAGACCCAGGTCCCCCTGATCGATCCCAACGATCCATGCCATAAGCTCCATCCATAGATGCGACTCCTCCATGCCCGTCACCACCGTCTCCGTCCCATTACGCCGCCGCCGCCGAATCCAACAACGTCCCAGGTAAGCCTCTTTTCGGGTGAAGCTAGGGTTTCTCTGCTGGCTGAACGATCGAGGATCCATGGCGACGGCCGCGGCGATATCGTCTCCAACAGCTAGGGTTTCAAAATCGAGCATGGTGATGGCGATTCAGCTACGATTTTGACGTAGCGGCATGGCAGCTAGGGTTTTTTGGGCGTGGTCTGGGTTTAATTTGATGGGACTGGGGAGGGGCTGCCTGGGCGGTTGGGGAGGGGGCTGCCTAGGCGATGCTGATCATCGCTGGGGAGGGTTGGTGGTGTGAGGTGGTTGCAGTCTTGCAGGGGTTGGGGGCAGGAGTGGTGGCCGGCAGCTGCGGCTGCGGCAATGGTCGGGAGATGCGGTTGCAGGGGATTTGGGGGCTGGGGTATGCTGAAGAAGGGATTGGGGCTTGGGATGAAGACATGTCAGGGAGGCTGGCCGCCGGAGTGAGGGCGGTGGCGGGTCACCGATTCACCGGCGGTGGTGGCTAGTGGCGGTGGCCGGCAGTGGTAGCAAGTGATGGTCACTATCGGGTCGGGTTAATGCAATGGATATAGTCTAGTAACTGATGAGATCGAGTAAGTGCAACTGGTTAAATCAAATAGTGTAACTGGTCCGATAACATATATTTGTAATCGGTCGTGTCAGCTAACTGTAACTTGTCGGGATTGGTAAATGCAAATGATGGTCGGGTGTAACTGATCAGGTTTGATAAATGTAACTGGTTGAGTAACTCTAACGGATCGAATTACGTAATTGTAACTGATCAGATTGAGTAATTGTAACTGGTCAAATTTGATCAATGTAACTGATTGAGTAACATTAATTGATCGGATCTAGTAACTGTAACTAGTCGAAATCCGATAGTTGTAACTGGTCGGATTTGATGAATGTAACTGGTCGGATTTGATTAAGTAACTAGTCGAAATCGGACTGATATTTAATTTTTGGTCACTGTTGGGTTTTGGACTTTTGGTCACTGGCGGTTTTTTGGTCACTAGCGGATTTTGGTCATTGATGGATTTTGGTCACTGGCGGATTTTGGTCATTGATGAATTTTGGTCACTGGCGGATTTTGTAACTATGTCATTGGTAACTGTAACATTGGTCACTGCACATTTGGTCACTGTGGCGGGTTACTGTAGCAGGCCAGTGGGTTTGGGCTTAGTAAGGGTGTAACAGTCCCTTAAGTATTATTTAGTCTTATTTTTGGAACTTAAAAGAAAAGTCTCTTTTTTGTCCAAATGCTTTTAATTAGTATTATTTGAGGACAAACCCCAAATGCTTATATTATAGTCTGCTATGGCGCGTGACGGCGGCCGGAGCGGTGATGACATCTCCGGTCAGGCCTGGGATGGGAGTAGGTGACTTTGGACAAGCAGCGACTCTCAGCTAATGGCGCCCGGCGGCGGCGCAGACGTCCATGCAGCTCCGGCTGCTGCAGTAGAGATTTGGGAAATCTCAGGTTCTTCCTTCCAGATCTGTTCTTGGTTAAATTTTTGTGATTGGGAAGAATTTTTGGATAATTCAGGAGGGTTTCTTACTTGATTGTGTTCAACCTCTCAACGAGAGCACCATTGTAGGATAATTGATACCCATAACCTATAATCTAGAGAGATTTGAACAAAAAAAATGTGGAGAAAGAGATAAGTGTGTATAGAATATGAACTATGAGTTCTATGACTTATGGTTTACAAGCCTCCTATAAGGAGTATATATATAGGGAAAATCCGGGTCTGGGCCTCTAATACGGGCCTGACAGATCCGGTTACATAAATGGACTGATAGTATAAAAAGCTAATCTAGAACATCTGGATAATAATGTACAATAATATGAATCCGCTAAACGTGCGTGGGCCGCTGTCCAGGCCCAGTAGTCGGCAGACCGGGGGGTCAGAGTCCATATACTCCATCAACTGGTGATGTATTCACTGGTTCTTTAACTTCAAGAGCCATCCCACTATCGCAGGACTACTTCATATGTACCTTTAGCATTGAGGCTCTGATACCATGATATAATATGCAATTTGTATTTCAAAGAGAAAGAACAATCACCCTTATTCTTATTATTCTCATGAGCAGCGTACAATTTATATATAGATATACTTACACCTACAGAGCATAATAAGGAAAGGTGCTAATGATAATAAAGGATCCTACCGTATCACTAAAAATTATGTATACCCGTAAATAGGCTTACATACCATAATACTAATACATTAAATATATAGTAATACGGTAATAGATTGTGGCATGATATGGGGCACCATGCCTGCAGGGCCGCATCTCAATAAAAGCTTATCAACCTCTTCCATTATTTTCAAGAATTAGAAAGTGTTTTATTCATTAAAAAGGAAGACAACGAAAGGAAGAAAGCAGATAAAAGAAATTGACAGTCCAAACAAAAAATAAGGAAACTCGACAAGGAAGAAAGCAAAACAGAAAAAGTCACACAAATAGATCTAGGCATCTGGCATCCTCACCCTCACGCGAAGGAAACATAAAAACAGAAAAGAGGAGGACAAATAGGCGACCATTCTAGGGATGACCCTGAGTTGACGGAGTAGAGGACGGCTTCAACCATGAGAACTATGAATCCCACGAGAAGCGATGGAGGACACGAGTGGGAGACAACGGAAGTGGTGTCTGTCGTAGATGGTGAC